AAAGCCAGATTTTGGGTAAAATGATTAAAACAGACCTTAATGGACATGTACTGTTGAAATGGTGAAATGAATCCATGAACCTGGATTTGTAGAGGTGACTGGGAGGCGTAAAGAGGCGTGAGGGCTCATGAAAGTCAGGGAAATTAGAATTTATGAAAAGTTGAATGTGGATGTCTGTCACGGTCTTTTAAAACTCAGATCTTCCTACTCAGCCTCTCCCCTGCACCCCTCTCCCTAGACAGGGTCTCACTTTGTAGTCCTGAATGGCCTAGGAATAGACCAGGCTGGCCTGGAACTCTTATCTGCCTCACCCTCTGGAGTACTGGGATTAAAGGTGGGAATTACCACACCTGCCTATTGAATGCTGGCAATTCTGGTTTTGTTTGTGGCAGGATCTTGCCCGGCAGCTAGGGCCCTGGACCACTTCACTTCTGCCTCAGCCTCCCTAGTGCTGGGATGATAGGCAGGAGCCTGACTGTTTAAGAGACACAGGACCTCACTAGGTAGCCCAGGCTGGTCTCAAATTCTCATTCATCCTGCTTCTGCTTCATAAGACCTTGGATAGCAGATGTGAAGTGGGGCAGGATTTCTAAGATCTCTTTTCATTTTGAAATTTATTTTTATGTGTGTGAGTGTTTTCCTTGTATATACGTACATACACCCCTTTAGCACTTCAAGATCATCCTTGACTTGAGGCCAGCCTGAGATACATGATGCCTCGTCTCAAAAAAAAAAAAAATCTAAATCTATAGATAGATAGATAGATAGATAGATGATAGATAGATAGATAGATAGATAGATAGATAGATAGATAGATAGATGAATGATAGATCATTTAACCCACCCAACTTCCTGAAATAGAACCTCAGGCCCAGATAAATTCATTTCACCAGTAACATGTAGCCACTTTGGTGGCAGGGGTGATGAGCATTCGTTAGCAACTGCTGTTCAGTTGTATAGCTTCTGTTCTATCATGCATCACAGATGGTATATTAATTTTTTTCTAGTGAAATAGGATATATTAAGGATTGTGGAAAATTCAGACAATGGAGTGGGACAGAATAATGTCTGAAGAAGCATTTTAATGTTAGTTTTAAAGCCTATATAGTTACACACATGATGTGAACAGTATACATACAACAGACACATCGGGGTTGGGGGTGGGCAGAGATTAAAAATGAAGAAGTCTGGGACTGGAAAGATGGCTCAGTTGTTAAGACCACTGGCTGCTCTTACAGAGGACCAGGGTTCAGTTGTTAGTACCCTATTAGGCTAACAATGGTCCTTAGTGCCAGTTCAAAGGGCTCTGACACCCTCTTCTGGCTTCTTTGAGCATTGCACATGGGTGCAATTACATACATTCAGGCAAAACACTCATACACGTATAACATTAAAATTCTTTTTCTATTGAAGGCTGACACTGCTGCCCATCTGTGTGTTAATGCTTTAGTGTCATTAGTACCTAGTGTCATTACTTTTTTTTTGGTTTTTG